TTATTTATTTATACCTTTTTTTTTTGGTACCAAGAATTGAACTCAGGACCTTGTGTGTGTCATGTGCCACTGAACTATATCCCCAGCCCACATTTATTTATTTATTTATTGTTTGTCTTTTTGAGACAGGGTCTCGCTATGTACTCAGGCTGTCCTTGAGCTCACTTTGTAGCCCAGGCTGGTCTGGAACTCACAATGATCCTCCTGCCTCAGCCTCCCAAGTGCTGGGATTGCAGGTGTGCACCACCACGCCCAACTATGATGCCATTTATATACACAATGTGCTGTTTCATGATCTAAGTCTTGGTTACCTGGCTATAATTAGTTCATAAAACTTGGTGTGCTCTACACTTGTAATATGTATTTTTTTTTCCTGTATGCTTCTATTAAAGTGAGTAATCAGGACTTGATTTCTCTTGGTTGTTTGCGCACGTCTCCCCACCTGCCTGCGTCACCCTCAGGTTTACGGCTGCCCCTGCTCCGGTTTCACAACCTTTACTACCTATGTCAAACATGGGAGGGAAGGTTGTCTTCTCCAAAGGCGCGAAGGAGTCTGGGTGTTGACTTTCATTATTGCTGCTAGTCTACCCATCCTTGAGGCAGTCACTGTTGCCTGCAGAACAGTGTCCAACCAGTGGGGTTGGCGCGCATGACAATGGCATCAGCAAACTCATAGGACCATGTGGGCTGAAAGCGTGTGCAGGACTGACACGGGGCCGTCGCAGAAGTCAGATGAAGGGCCGAGGATTTAGCTCAGCGGTGCAGCACCTGCTTGGCAAGCATGAGGTCCTGACTTCGATTCCTGATTCCCCAAACAAACAAACAACAACAAAAGTCAGAGGAATGGAGTTTGGGTGGCCCCAAAACTTCAAGGAATGTTTGGTATACAAGGAACGTCATCATCTGGACCACTATTTGCCTAGTACTTAATTTGGTCTTTGATAAATATTAAATGAAAGAAATCCATTTTACTGGGTATTACTCCCTAGGAGTAATCTTGCCACCCCTTGGGCCTTCCTGTCCAAGATAGGAAAGACAGGTGCCGGAATTTTGAAAAGGGATGTAAATCAGTTCTCTGATTGCAAAGACACAGCCTGTCTGAAATTGCAAGTCTCAGAGACCCTTTGGGAGCTCTTCTATAGCAGTCACGCATCTCTTTCCTCTCTCTTCAAAGGGGCTCTGTGACAGAGGACCAGAGCCCTGGGAGAGTTTGATCACAGCAACAATAGGTGAAACAAGTAGTAGTGCAAGCCTCTCGCTGCTGCGGGGAGGATGAATGGGCTGGGCTGTTGTGGAGAAGCATTTGGAGACAGTGGAGGAGAAGACTCACGCTCCTCTCCTGCTGCGCACACCCACTCTCGCACACATGAGCTCAGGAGAGGAGAAACCCTGCTCTCTGTGCAGGAGACGCAGTTGACTGTCCCCGCATTGTCCATTGCTGCAACCGAACAAAGCACCGCAGTGGGGTGGTGTCAAGTGGTAATCATTCTCTTATGTCCACGCACTTGGTGTCTTAGTTACTCTTCTCTCGTTGCTGAGACAAAGTACCCAGCACCCACAGTTAAAGGGGGAAGGTTTATTTAGCTCACAGTTTGTAGAGCTTTCACTCCATCATCAGCTGGCTTCAAGGCAGGGTGGCACATGGCAGACAGGCATCTCAGAAGAGGACCAGGCAGAAGGTAGCAAAGCAAGGAAGTGGTCTTAGCAGCTTGCTAAGGGCCCTGATAGTCTGCCCCTTTTATATTCTGTCTAGGCTACCAGGATAGGGTGGTGCCAGACCAATCAGCAGACTGATTTAGTAATCACCTACCCTTAATCCAAGCACCCCCAATCCTAGCAGTGTATCCTGCATCAATCACACTCTCTAGATCCAGTCACCTCTGAAAAAGCCCTGTGACTGCATGAGGCTTTGGGGGGACATCTAGACACAAGCCTTAACACTTGGAAAGGGCCCTCTGGAACAGTCTGTCTGGGGCTGCAGCTCAGAGGATGTGTAGACAGCAGGAGGCTGGGATATCTCAAGCTTTGTCCTCTCCCAGGCCTTGTGGTTGATGCGGACTGTTAACTAGGACATCGGCTGGAGCTGCTGACCTAGTGCACCTGTGGCCCCTGCACAGGGCCTGTGCTTCCTTGTAGCAGGATGGCTCAAGGCTCCAAACATGAGTGTCTCGACCAACAAGTCAGATGTTGCAATTCCTCCTGAAATGTACAATGTTGGCTTCACTTCTGGTCACTGGTTGCAAGGGTTTCACAATCCTACCCAGATACAAAAGGAGGGTAATTAGAGAAGGTTCTCAAAAAGCATGGGACTGGGAATTACTGTCAAGGCCATCTCTAGTAAGCATGTCTGGTACAGATATTCATTGCATCAGTGTACCCACTGGACCACCATCTCTTATCCAAGTCCTCTGTCGAGCCAGATGTGGTTGTTTTTTTTTTTTTTTTTTTCTCTTTTTGAGACAAGGCCTCACTATGAAATTCAGGCTGGCCTTGAGCTCACTTTGTAGCCCAGGCTGGTCTTGAACTAGCAACGATCCTCCTACCTCAGCCTCCTGAGTGCTGGGATTACAGGTGTGCACCACCACACCCAGCAGATGTGTTTTGAAATTTAGAAATTCTGGGAGAATTTTGAAAGGTAATATGGTGCATTGATTGAATGTTATACTCCTTGAGTGTGATGGCTTACCATATAAGCAAAAATCTAAATATTTCCTCCTTGGAACATATGAATATTTAAGGGGCTGGGGATTTAGCTCAGCAGCACAGCGCCTGCCTGGCAAGTGCAAGGTTGTGAGTTCGATTCCTGGTACCAGAAGAAAAACAAAACAAAAATAAAAACAAACAAAAACCAAACATGAATATTTAAATTAAGTGAGGTGAAGATTATACATAGCTTTCTTTCTATTCAGGCCAGATCTTGTTGTCAAATAGTGAAACAGCTTTAAATTGCTAGGTTTATTTTGTTTTGGTTTGTTTGTTTGAGATAGGCTCTTGCTATGTAGTTCAGGTTGGCCTTGAACTCTTTATGTAATCCAGGCTGGGCCTGAATGTGTGGCAATCCTCCTGCCTCAGCGTCCTGAGCACTGGTCTGTGTCACCATGCCTGGCTTAGGTTTCCTGTATTTTAAGTTGTGGCTAAGGATCTATGGACCAAAAGAGTTGGAAACAAATAGACATCATCAAGAAAAAAGGATTTTAAGAAATGTTGTCCAATGACCCGGGCGTGGTAGTACACATCTGTAAGCCCAGTGCTTGGGAGGCTGAGGCAGGAGGATCGCTGTTAGTTTGAGGCCAGCCTGGGCTACAAAGTGAGTTTAAGGCCAGCCTGAACTTCATAGTGAAACCCTGTCTCAAGGAAAAAAAAAAAAAAAAGACAAAACCCAAAAACAAAACAAAAAATTGCTGTCCAGTTATATAGCAATAGAAATGAATAAACTTGAGCTTCATGTGTCGGATGGATACACCTTATAGAACTGAGGTCAAGAGAAAGCAAACTGCAGGAGGGTATAGTCATGATGAGTTAGGACAGGTCAAGGTATGCTGCAGTAACAAATAGCACTATGTTTCGGAGCCTTAAAACAAAGTGTTTTTTTTTCTTGTTTTTGCTACATGTTTATCATTGGCCCAAAGAGGTCAGGGCATTTCCTTTCCATTCTGGAACTCAGCTGTGGAACATCTATGGTTATTTGGTACAGGGAAAAAACAGCCCAGGACTCAAAACTGTTAAGGCTGGTGGCAAGAAGTCATAGCTATCTCTGCTGCGCTAAGTCTCATTTCGCCTGAGAGGGGCGAGCAGCAACCAAAGTGACCCTCGTGTCACTTCGTGCTCTGCCCACAGAAATTCCTGTCACTGGAGGCACTTGATGGCTCCGGAGACCTGAGAGCAATTACCCGAATGCCTGTGCTCATTATCTGCTCATTGCTTATGTGAGTCTGAACAGAGAGACTCACTGGTCTGTGAGACTCACTTGGCTGTGGGCATGGGTTTTTTTTGGTCTTTTTGAGACAGAGTCTCACTATGCAGTTCAGGCTGGCCTTGAGCTCACTCTGTAGCCCAGGCTGGTCTCTAACTCACAATGATCTTCCCGCCTCAGCCTCCTGAGTGCTGGGATTACAGGTGTGCGCCACCACGCCCGGCAGTCGTGCATGTGTATGGGTTGTACAATGGCTTCCTCAGGGTGGGAATCTGGAAGCTTTTCCCTGAAAGTCTGAGCAGGGCCTTGTGTTACTTGAGACTCTTACCTTTAGGCGGTGATTTCTATTATTTCTGTTTGGCTTGGCCAGCCTACAACTGGGTGTTGACAAGCACAGGACACCCAACTTGTGCTCTCCTGAGACTTATCTAGGGAGCTCCCTTTGCGTAGGATACTCCCCGTTCTAGAACATCCAAAGGCTCCCTGTGGCTCGCAGGAAAAAGTATGAGTAGCAATGACTCCCACTGATTGAGAATCTGCCTCACGCCAGGCACAATATGGGCCCAACCCTGAATCCTTCTGGCGATCCTGGGACAAATGAACTGCATGACCTTTACCTTACAGACAAGTCCAGAGCGGTGAGGGGCCTTATCACAATGAAAGTGAGGGCAGTGGGGAGGCAGAACCGGTTGGAAGCAGGATCTGTCAGGCTCCTGGAGCCCTGCTGAGCCGCAGGGGCTGGCTGTTCCAGTCTCAGCCTTTACCTTTTCCTGTGCCAGGCAGAGAGCCAGCTGCTCCCGCCAGGCAGTCCTCCTGCCGCTTCCTCTCCAGCCCACCTGTCTCATCATCCCTTCCAAGCCCAGTTAGGGTTTCACACAATGCCCTCCCGATTGCTGGCCACAGCGAGTCCCGCCCTCACCTCATTGTCCCGCGTTTCCTGTCTGTCTGCTGCTGGATTGCAGGAAACTCCACTTAGTCATCTCTGCATCCGCCATGCCCAGCAGGTGCTCAGTACACATCTACTATTCTTTCGGCGTTCCTCCAGCAGTTATTGAGGACTTCTGTTGCCTTGTTATTTCAGGTGGAGATGCAGCAGACGTTTGGCTGTCTAGAAAGGAGAAGGCCTCCTTGTCTGTCCATCCAGAATAGACCAGATATTATTGCTCTTACGGTATGATTGGTAATTTTCATGGTATCTTTTGTGGTTATGGAAGAGAATGCCATTTTTTTTTTTTAAGGATTTGCTGCTGAAGTATTGAGGCATGAAGTAATTGTAAGGTAGCAATTTATTTTTAAACAATTTAGCAAAGAAAAATGTATTTATGCATGAATATAGATAATCTGGAAAAAGGATAACAATTGTCTTGTTTTGTTGAGACAGGGTCTCACTATGTAGTTCAGACTGGCTTTGAACTCACTATGTAGCCTAGGTTAGTCTTGAACTCTCAGTGATCCTCCTGCCTCAGCCTCCTGAGTGCTGGGATAACAGGTGTGCACCATGATGCCCGGCTAACAATTGTTTAATTCAGGTAGAGCACGGAAACATGTTCCTTATATTGTTTTTTTTCCATTTTCAGTTGTTTGAAAATGTTTCCCAGACATTGGAGTTAGAAGAGGTCATTGTGTGGGCCAGACAAAAAGTGTTCACAGTCAGATTATTCCAGCTGGTTGTGGAATTCTGTTTGCTGTCTCACCTAATCCACATCGTAGTCCTGTGGGGTGGGTAACACTGGGTCCATTTCACAAGTGATGAAATGAACAGAACCTCGGATAAGTAAGTGATTTGCTCAAGGTCACACAGCCAGCTGAGTCCAGGTCAAGATTTGAGCTCCCATTTGTCTACGTCAAAGTTCTCTGCTTTCCTTTTTGGTTAAGTCTTCTCTTCCATCACGTTTCCTAGCAGTGTTGGATAGCCACCTGCAGTTACTAAGTGCCAGGCTTTGCCTGTGTAACTCAAATCCTCACTACAATCTGATGGGATTGTTCTTTTATTTTTTTGGTCTTTTTGAGATGGGGTCTCGCTCTGCAGTTCAGCCTGGCCTTGAGCTCACTATGTAGCCCAGGCTAGTCTTGAACTCACAGTGATCCTCCTGCCTCAGCCTCCCCAGTGCTGGGATTATAGGCATGTGCCACCATGCCCCCGCCTTAAACCCCTCCATTTAAAGGATCTGGAAACAGTGTAGAGGTCAATAGTATAAAACACTTTAGGAATATAAAGCAGGATTATTGCTGGCTCTCCTTGGCTTCTGGCATTCCAGACAGTGCTTATTTTCAGACGTGTCTGCATGGGGCACCCTTACCTCTATCCATCTGGTAGCTCCATGAAGATGTGGTGGGTGCTACTGGCCTAACCATGGATCTCTGGTTATTGTTCACTGTCCTCTCAGGTCTTCTAGACCAAGGCCCATCTTAAAGTGTTGCTCTGGATATGGGCCCATGTTAAAGTGGTGGGGAGGATACTCAATCTGCCTGCACGATGAGAATTAGGCCTAGGTGGAATGCTGAGGAAGTTACAATTTAGGGTCAAGGGCCTACACTGGGAGACTAGTTTGGTTAGAGCCTTAGGACCTGCTTTTCCTTCAGAAATCTGGGCTTCCTCATCTGCACAATAGCAGTCATCTCAGAACTCCTGGGGGGATTTAATGGGATGAGTGAGGCCCAGCATCTCTCAGCACAAGCGTTCTCACTGACAACTGTTATCTTTCTTTTTTTGTTTTGGTTTTTCTCCAGTACCGGGAACCGAACTCACGACCTTGCGCTTACCAGGCAGGCGCTTTGCCGCTGAGCTAAATCCCCAGCCCCTGACAACTGTTATCTTTATGCCTCTTCTGTTCTCTCGGACGTGGATCTGCCTACAACTCTCTCTGGTTCATTGGATTTTACCTACTCCGGCCTTGGATTCAATCTGGGGACAGAGCAGGCCTTCATGAATATCAGGGACTTTGTACCTGCTGTTTCCTTGTCTGGTGGGGCTGTTTCTCACCCCTTGGTATCTTAACCAATGCCACCTGCTCAGGAAAGCCTTTTTTTTTTTTTTTTTGGTCTTTTTGCGACAGGGTCTCACTATGCAGTTCAGGCTGGCCTTGAGCTCACTTTGTGGCTGGAAACCCTTTCTTGGGCACTCCAAGCTGCCTCCAATACATTTTCTTGTTTTATTGTGTTCACATCTGTCATCAGTACCCGATATCATAATTGATTTGTTTCTTTTCCATATGAATGTAAGTTCCAAGGAGACGGAAATTTCCTTTTTTTGTTCTCTGTAGCATCCTCAGCGCCAATAGTAACTAAATGATGATTCGAACAAATGAATGAAAGAATGAGCATATCCATCAGGCGAGCCCCCAATCCTTACACTACCCGCTCTTCTGCCGCAGTGGGATAAAGACCGGTCACCTTTCGTAGTTGGTCGCTGGCCCTGGTGTTGGGGCTCCGGAGCGCCAAGCCAAGCCTTGCAGGAAGATGCTTCCCCCTAAGGCTGGGCGGTGGCCGCGCCCGAGAGGGGCTGTCGGCATTTGGCGACGTTCCCTGAGGGCCGCCGCGGAGTCCGTGCGAGGGTCTGGAGGCGAGCACGCGCGCGGGTCTTTTGTGACGG